AGAAACTTCGAAATAGAATGCAATTAATAATCCGTTAATTTATTACAACACGTGCCCACTGTAATTATATGTAACTTAAGAGACAAAATGCTATCAAATGGCTACATTAAAACAAAATTAACGGCACGTGTCTGATTCGCGTCGAAGGAAACTATTCTTCAATTTGGACGTGAATTAAAATATACTACTTTAACACAGTATTAAAGAACCAAGAATCTATATTTTTAATATACGCATATACGTACATAACACGTGAATCGTTTAATTAAAGAATTGAAACCTCCATAGCCTCGACTGATTTGCTGAGAGAGATGAGACACAAAATTTCACATTGAATACTCTGTGAACACACAGAGACACACGTGTATCCGTACATACGAAAAATTACACGGATCGTTCAGCACGTGTAAACGTATATTGACACACATTTCAGATAGAATTTGAAATAGATGAAAAAGCTACGTTAAAACAAAATTAACGCCATGCGTTTCAACTCTCGCCGATGGGAACAATTAGTTACACGAAATTACCTGACACGAATCCTTGCCACCGATGTCTACGTAACCGGCGCAGATCATTCGCCGTGTGATTGGTCTGGTTACGTACAATCGGGAGCATTGTGCGCTAGAAACAAGTGGCACTTGAACCTTACGTAACCGTGTGGTCAGCGGGCCGTTGTTTCTCATAACTCCCCAACCGGTGACCATCGCCTTGCTACCAGCCGCATAATGATCGGCTATCGGTGCCAGCAGGATCGGTCTCACCCGCTGACTGTACACCAGCGGCTTTCCCAGCTGAAATTGTAATTGGTTTGAACGGTGCCAACCGGTTTGAGAGGACTGCGCATTGCGGAATTGATTGTGAAACGATAATTGAATTCTTCGCGGCTTTATTCCACGGGGAGTCGTTAATAAATAAACTTGGTCGATCGGCGCTTCGGTTTGCTCTGCACCTAACCTCACTGGTCGTCCTCCCGGATTTCCGTTATCGGCTCGCCTCCTTCTTTCCCCCTCCCGATCGTTTCGAAACGGAGCGTGAATCTGTCGCGTGTCTTTACTTTGCTCGTCGAAGTTTCCGTAGATTTTTCTTCTTTCTTTCTTTTCTGTTCTTTCCAATGTGGCCGGCGAGAAAAGCGAATGGAAAGTTGGTCCCGCGAATGTTTCGTTGATTTGAAAAGAATTCCTTTCAGCGAGTGTTTCGATTTTTAGAGAAGTGACGACTCGAGTCGCAAGGAATTTAATACCAGTAACACATTATCAGAACGTTCCTTCGACTAATTTGAGTACTGATTAGATATTGGAATTTTTAAACGTCCGAAGGTTTAGTAAGAATTTCTATTAAGTAGAAATATTTTTCTATGTCGTAAGATGCTTCTCTTCAGTTTCATTTCTTGAAATCTAGTGTATCTTTGAATCTATGTAATATTCAAGTCTACATATATTCCAATTGAACGATGTAGAATCGTTTCAAATTTCTAATCAAAACAGAGTGGATCTTACTAAATTCAACGATCAAACATACTTTCTACTCACCCGAATCAAGGCGATGTCGTAGTCCGCGGTTATTCTGTCGTACTTCGCATGAATAATAATTTCTTCCGCGTCGATCGTTACGGCGTCGTCGTCAGCGAGATCGGAGGTGCCCGCCTTGATCGAGAAGAATCTCACGAAGGGGCTGGAAACCGAAGCGAAAATAAATTAACGCGCATTAATGCAGGCGAGTAGAATTTCTGTTTGAAGATACGCTCGTGTTGTGTTATCGAGATCGATATGGTGCTTGTTAACGAAACTGGGAAAAAAAAAATACGCACCTCTGGACGCAATGCGCGGCCGTGACGATCCAACTCTCGCTAATGATAGAACCACCGCATACGTGACGATTGTTATATTGAAGAGACACCTGCAAATTTTACGGACAGCATCAATTTTGCGGACGATCGAGCCAGAACCAGCTTGTTGAACGTCGATTAATATTTTTCCTAATATCCATAGAGGTCGAGCGAGCGGCAGTTGTTTTCGAATTGGCGAACTCGTTACCGTGATTTCGTCCCGCGACGAAATTATATCCGCGTTCACGCTAAATTATTCCCCCGCCTCTGCGAGAATTTATAGGATTTGAAAATTAAGTTGCGATTGGGAGACGTTTGTGATGCTCTTTTAACGCGACAACACTGCTTTAAATCGGCGATCCTATTACCTTCGGAACGATCATTTTTTTTTTTTT